GAAATAAAATTAGTGATAAGAAATGCTTTTTGTGGGGAAATTAATTGCGAACCAAAACATGTTTCCACAAAGTTGACATTTAAAAAGATCTACGATAATCCATAAATGAAATAGGGTGCAGTGATAGAACTTTAATTTTGAAAAAAAAACGTCCGTTTTAAGTTAGATACAAAAATTGTGCATTCAAAAAATATTTTATCCCATTTATTTTTTGAACAAAACAAATTAAATATCCTCCTTTTGATTTCCTGTAGACGTGTATTATACACCCATCGTATAATGCGGTAGGTTCAATTTCGCATGCCTCATGCCAACAACCAACATTTCCGATTGGATTTCTTGAATTTAGCAAGTTTTTTTATAATCACCCCTAGGGGGAGAAACAAGCAATTCGAGACAGAAGAACCTCTAAACTTTTAAATGAAATGATGTCGGTATTACAGTAAAAATCAAGAATACTCCTTTTTTGTATAATTGCTATGTGAACTGGCGTGCGGTCTGTAACGAGTGGTTTTATTTCGCGCCAAATTTCATTAAAAATTTCGAATTTCTTGTCATGATAGTGCAGGTCACCCTGTATATTTCATTATTTGTTCCGGTTAGAAATTTTGTGTTTGGGCATTTCGGTTCGCTCAAGACTATGGTCCGATAGATTTAATTTCGCTCAGATTTAATTTCGTCGTGGGAAGAGTGCAAAGCTGATTGACGTCATCATGAGTAATGCGAGTTGTTTGTCGTTAGTTTATCAACTTGGGCGCCGTCTGGACCGAGAAAAGGAGCGGATGTAGCACCGAGCTATCAGAGATAAGGGGCCTTTCCACGTCGTCAACAGAAAACCGTGAGATCAGTTTGGTCAGCAGTTCTTGGAGGTTAATGACGAAGTTGGAGTGGGTTAAGTTTTCTTTATCTAAACCAATGGGAGAATTTCTAGCGGGAGCCATTTTTGTTTTATGGTAATTTGGGTGTGGTTTTTTCATTTCAATTCTGAAGAAGGGGATCGTTTTTTGGGAGACTCGCGGTTAGTACTTCAAGCGGTCAACACGTACCTTGAGCGAAAGTTTTGGTACACTTGGCGGTTTGAGCCACCGGCTTATTTCGGTTGCTCCCAGTTGCGTGCTTTTTGCACCCGTTCCGAAGTGTTATTTTCTTTTCGTGTTGATTTTTTGGCGAAGAAGACCCGGTTCAAATCAGAGGATATTTTGGCGAACCCTTGAGCGTCACCCCAGTTTACTTTGGATGCAGTGAATCGCGTTAGGATACGTTGTGATTTCTCGAGGATATATAATTCAAAGTGCTGCCCTAGTCCTCAAGGCGCAGAATTTCGGGATCCGCCCCAGGTGGAATTTCCTACTAGTGCCGTAAGGTCATTTGTCGAAGGAGCGCTGCGTTTCGGAGAGATATTTGCCCCAAGAAGAGCTGGTGAAATAATACTTTGAACCGTCGCGGTTTACCGTCGGATAGTGATCATAAAAGTTTGTGTTCTGCCGTACCGCTAACTCAAAAATCCGTCTCCCGCCGGCGATTAAAGCTAATAAACTGATAAAATAAAATTAAATACACTGTGCTGTGTAGAAACTTTGGCAACTAGCCGTCTCCCACTCGCCACGCGAAGGATTTCCGGGACCTAGTTAAAGTTCAAACACTAAACTTTGCTTTCGTTCCGAGGAAGGATAGCCACCGTGGATTTTTGTTTCCGTGTGTTAAATTCAAGCCACCCCTAACAAAGTCACAGAGACCTAAGTGTCAGATCACATCCACCCTGTACCAGAGGAAAGAGCAGTTCACAAGATCGGCTGTACAAATGTTGTAAAGGTTAGTCTAATTAAATTTGTAACATTCTGTAAAATTCCACTTTTTGGTAATTAAGCTATAGTAAAAAAATTTTTGATTTGATTGTTTATTAAAGTCCAATGAACGATTACCAAAGAGTAGGATAAATTTTTGTGTTTATTTAAATAAGTCCCAGCCCACGCTGGATTAAAAAACTGATTACTTGTTGTTGCATTTTTTTCAAACTATAGAGGATGGCCACCCCTTGAGTAAATTAGTTTCACCTGTTAGGGTTTTTTAGTTGTCATTGTTAAGCTAGTGTTTTTATAAGGAGAAGAGAAGAACTGCTAGATCCCTGTAAATTGTTTGTATCGCTAATTTCATTTCAATATATTATCTATTTGGTTTCAAAGTGCCTGTCTTTAACAAAGAACGAGGGGAAGGAAAGGGAGAAGTAGGAGTTGAGGCAGGAGACTGGTAGGCGGCAGGTTAAGGTTTGTTACACAGTTTCAAAAGAGTTAAAAGCCCACCGATTTGAGTTAGCCGGAGCATTTATTTTTATCGATTGAGCAGCCTAAGAAGAAGACGGTTTGCCTTGCCGGGCGGAACCGATGGTAATCTTCAAGTCCAGAAGGAACCCCCGTAGCAGGTCACTACACCGCCCACAAAACACCAGAATACTGACTTAAAATTTCTCAATCTGAGAGACTCGGTGCCCTCGATCAACTTCCGAAAGTTCCAAAGAATTTATTACACAAATTTTGATTCACATCTGAAATAAATCTTGGACAAGAATCGAAAAATCGGGCATGAAAACCTATTTGGGTCGCACAAAGGATTCGAATAAACATTCCGCTATGCTATGCTATGGTATAGTCTCCATTTATAGTTGGTTGAAGAATGATTAAAAAAGTTAAAAAGATAAACTAGGTATTTTTATTAAACGTTTTTCTGTGGGCGTAAATTACCCGAAATCGATCGCCCACAGAAAAACTTTTAATAAAAATACCTAGTTTGCCCTTTTAACTTTTTTAATCACGTGTTAATAACTTTTCACAATCTTTTACTACTTCACTTGACGATAACTTAAATCTTTTATTAACTGACTGCCTGAGATTTAGCGTAAGCAAAAAATGTATACGCTCTTTTACCGCCGCGATAACTAACAGCTGCATCAGCCTCGTTTTCACATTGTCTCCGGTATGTACAGAAACACAATTTTTACCATAAGATAAACTCCTTTTTAAGGATTTTCAAAAACGCCGTCAGTCACAATCATACTTGATAACACCAGTTTCGAAGGAACGCGTCCCGCGTCCCCACTTATGTCGAAATAACGCGCACATCGAAAACACTTGCATCTTCTAGCAGCGATAAGAACACATGCGTTAATTAAATTTCGTCCGATAAACTCATCGCAAAAGGCGATGCCCTATAAAGTATTCTAGACCGCATCTTGTTTGAATGCAAAAATTTGAAAAACTGCAAAAACAATTGGGTGAACAGTTAGTAGCAAGAAAAATATCGGGTCCTCACAATGTTATGTCAATTCTTGCATATAGGTAATAACGAAAACGCCTTTTCATGCTTAATCGAATTTTTGGCAGATGGAAATATCACCATCGCCAAAAATCTTTTTTATTTTGTTCATCAAGCTAGTTTGAGTTATTGAGTCTAGATTTTTTAAAGATAAAGTGAACTTTCACGAAACTGTCAGCGATTGTTAAGTGCGCCTGATTTATTCACAACTAGATTATTTGGATTATTTAAAAAAGAAAGAAAGCTGTAAGTAATTTTAAGATTTTGGTAATTATCGAACGCCTGCGTGCGGGGTAATTTGTTTGAATAAGCTTCTGACAGGAATTTTTTCTTCATTTTTTCATTTAATGTGTTTCGGAATAAAATTCGATCAATTAATTGTGTGGTTATTCGAACCCATTGTGCGACGCGAATGGAGTGTTCATGTCCGATTTTTATTTTCTTATGCTATTTCTTAAGATTTATTTCAGGTGTTGATAAAAATTTGCTTAGTAAATTCTTTGGAATTTTCGGAAGTTGATCGAGGACACTGAGTGACAAAACCTTTAGTTTAAGTCAATAAGAGAATTTTACTTTATAGCAGATGCCGTAATTGTTAAGAGGTGAAATTTTAAATGTTCTACGTTTTAATTTTAATTGGTTTCAGCTAGTTGGACAGGTGTTTTGTGTGGTTAACTGCACGCCATTGCACACAGAAATACTTTTATTTTTCATTTGCCTATTATATGTCAATTATATCTGTCATATGTGATATATAAAGCCCAGGGGCATAATGAGAGGGCATAATGGATTGTCATCTCATTATGCCCTCAAACGGCCTGTCAAATTGATTGATGGAGTTATATTATATAATAAAAAAGATGCAACTTGATTCGTTTGAAGCACTTTAATGTATGCACCTCAGGCATTACTCAATGTTTAACGGACCCGAGGCCCTCGGGCTCTGTCGCCCTCGGCATAAATATCGCATTAATGCCCTTGATGCATAAATAACTATAAAGACGTATTTAAAATGCCTATACTATCTGCGTTTCATACCTAAAACACACCACAAGAAAGACATTAACAAATTAAGAACAAAAATCGGCTTATTTCAGGTTTTTTCTTCCCACAATAAGACACAAGAACGCCAGAAATGAATATGGCATCATGGTGGTGTTTTTTTTTAATGTTGTTCCTTCAACGACCACAAGGGTTCCAGTATTTTCATTTACCATTGTTGATACTATACAAATTTAGAGTAAATCGCATATTATTTATTAAAATTAAGAAGACCTACACTGATATTTCCTGTCTCTGTACGAATACACGGTAACGTCGGTAACACAGCCAAAACGAAAGCCATGTCCGTCGGAAACCGTTAAATAATTCATCAAATCACAACCCCTAATTACTTTTTATTAAATATCGTGTAGTTGAACCGCCACTGTTAATATTAATGAAATTTTCCTAGTGATTTAATTTGTGTACTGCCGGAATTAAAGTTCAATTAATAGCGTGGTCGATTTTTCATATAGTTGATACGATTTCTAGTATACATTCACTTATAATTAATTACGCTTGATTAATGTACAGTTTACATGCGTTATTGGACGTTTTTATACACACTTAAATGTTCCTAATTATTAAAGCCCCCTTCTTCAGATACGCCTTGGGGAGTTCGCGTACTAAATCACGTTTTCTTTTCGTAGGTAAGCGGGATGCTGCACAATACAGGACAGTCGCTTGTGTTCAGGGTAGATAAAGACACTAAAAACCATGTAAATATATCCGGAGGTCCTCTAGCCTATCGTTACCAATTTGAAGAGATTTATATCCACTATGGGACCGAAAACCAGCAAGGTTCCGAGCATCACATCCATGGATATTCTTTCCCAGGAGAGGTAAGGCTCGTAGATTAAATAAAAAATTTATTCAGTAAGTGTAACTTAATATAAATAATCAAACTTCGTCGGCGAGAAATTTATTTCGAGTATTGTTCGGCGTAAAAGTTTTCACGTGAACTCGCCTATTTAAATGCAGTTTAATGAAAAGTCATTATGTATAGCAAGCGAGCGATTAGTTTTCCATGCTACGCTGAAAGCGTTTTATGTCTTCAATAAAGTATGTGAAAAACTACAACTAAAACCCATTTTCTACATAACTTTTAAAAGAAAATTCGAAGCAAACGTAAAAGATAGTAAAAAATCGAAATAGTATTTTCCGGAGCACGCCTGGAATGTTAAGTAAGAGTTCGAAGTTCTCCGACAGTTTGATGTAGTACCTCGGCCAGGTAGATACGTTGCGAAGAGGAGAAGCGGTCTGAATTTATACTTTAAGGGGATCAATTTGACGTTGGGGTTATCGACTAGACGCCAATCCTTCTTTCGATAAACGGAATCTACGAAAAAGTTTAAAAAAAAGGTTATAACTCACACATATGCGAGTATTATTTTAACGGTTCGATCAACCCCCTAAGTTCTGGGCCACATTACTCCCATAGCACATAACGGTTACGCACTTTAAAATTATAACCCTGACGGGATCACTTCAATCTTTCTTTCACGGCGCTTGGGGAGACTACATTACTGAAATTCCTTATTCCTAGTCGATTGTTTGAGGTAAATTGAAAATCTAAGAAAAAGACATCTATATAGTTACTGAAATATTTACTAAATAGAATTTTACGCTAGGATTGATTACAATTTACCATAGAAAAAGAAAAACAAAATTATTTAAAATAATTTTTTTAACTGCTACTTCCGATTTGCAGTTTCTAATGTCTATGATTTTTGTAATGATTCTGTCGCTTACTTAGGGGTAGTCTTGATATCTCTAATGCTTCTGATGAAATGCCCCTGATAATTCTGATGCTACAGATTCATTTTATACTTGCAGTATATCATCACATAGTCCTGATACCTACTGCCTACACCGATACATTTAGCAATTCCGATACTGCAGATATTTCGACATCCGGAAAATACGCATTTTAGAGCAATGGGGTAGGTCGTAGGTACTCGGGTTCGTATCTTTTAGGAACCACTTCTCCACACCACTGATTTAAAATCGCTACATTGTATTCTGAGGGTGAAGATGTAATCCTTAGAGGATCTTTGTTCACTTTTTTTGCCCTCTTTTCGATTCCCATTCACCTTCACTATCGTTTTAATGTAACCCCCTCTTTGTTTTGTTTAGCTCCCCTGTCTATATACTTCGCCCATTTATAGTATTTTCATACGTCCGTATTTTTTACTTCTTCAGCTTTTACTTTTGCTTTTTTTCGCCATTCCATTCACATTATTTTTCAGGTTCTCCACTGCTGGTTCTACATTATCTTCATCTCCACTCTTTATTTTATTTTGGGACACTTTTTGGAGTTCTTCTTTTGTTTACCTTTCTGTAGGTAACTAACTCTCACCTTAGTTATCATCTTAACTTTTTTTCTATTTCATTCTCCTTTCTACATTCCTCGTTAATTTGCTACTATTTTCTTGCTTCCTTCTTTTTTAGCTTCCACTTGATCTTTTCTTTCATCTTTTCGTTCAACTTCACCACTTCTGGTTCCATTTTATATTTATCTCTATTTCCATTTCCGTTCTTTATTTCAGTCTTTATATTCTCCCTCCTGTCTCTTCTTTGCTGTCTTCTTTTGACCTGATTTTTGTTTGTCCTTCCCCATCTCTTTTCATTCATTTTCACTTGCACTTTTATCTTTATCTTTCATATATTGTTCTCTCTCCGTGCATTCTTTTTTTTCGTTCCGGTTTCCATTTCATCTTTCTTTCTTTCTATGCGTTTCTTTTCTGCTTCGCCTTCCACAATTAAAATTATTTTATTATTTCCGAAATAGAATAACTGTTGCAGTTTCTAATGTTTATGACGTTTGTGATGATATTGTCGCTTACTTAGGGGTAGGTAGGTATAGGGGTAGTCTTGGTAGTTGTGGTGCTCCTGATTATCTGATGCGTATGATGTAACTGAGAATCCTGATGTTATATTCTTTATTCTCCTCTCCATTTTTTCTGTCTTCTTTTTACCTGATCTTTGTTTGTTGGTTCTCATCTCTCTTTATCGATTTTATTTAACTCGCACCTTCATCTTTATGTGCATGTTTTTCTTTACTATATTTTCCTCTCTCCATTCAATTCAATTACATACTTCCTTAACGTGTTCTAGATCTTGAATTAATCTACATACTTAAATTTTCTTTAGTTCTACTCTTTCTCCTTTACGTCGCTTTCTGCCTCTACTAAAAGATGCTGAGTCACCCCCTCCACCTTTCCTAAAACCATTGATTAGTAGAATACCTATTTCGGTATTATCCACAACTTCTTCATTTTCGTTCGTTATTTCCTCATTAATTGGTACATCATTTTTTCAGTGATTGAAAATTAAGTAATTGTTGGTGGATAAATGGAGCTCCATGTCCAGTAGAACTTAGTCTCCCTGATTGTTTCTTCTGGGCTGATGTTCGACAGCCTCTTTATGTTGTCTACGGTCCTCATAACCTCTTGGGTATGGTCTGTAATTTCCTCTTCTTTTTCCACAGGTTAGCATTTCTTCGATTATCTTGAAAATAATTGTTTTGGTTTTGGTAATTTCGTTGATCTGGGTCTCTCTTGTCTTGTTTTTCTCGGTTTCTGTTATCTTACTGATTTCTTCTTCCGAAATTGGGATTTCCTTCCCCCCATACTCACGAGCAGAGTTACCGTTACTTTCATGTCAAAACAACGGAGGTTTTGTGCATACGAAAAGACTAGAACATATGAAATAAATTACTGACACAACCAGGCGATGCCAGGAAAACCTTCTTTGGGACAAAAACCCACACTAGCCAAATTAACAAAGACAACAAAAGCAAAAGAAAATCTTCAATACATTTCAATAAAAATCGGGTTACGAATTTCAAGGTTCCAGAAACGTAATATTTTTTCCGAAAAACAACGTGCATGGTTTTAGCTGGTTCTTGAACGTCGGCTTACTGTTTTCGTCTTGGTAAAAATCGAACCACAGCCATTTTACTGAAGCCGCGCTCCTTTTGGGTCTCTCCATGAATTTTAAACCACCGTAGGGGCCATTCACCAGCCACTTTATTGACTTCAAATCTTGAGGTTGATATCTGAATGTAATTAATTAGAGTTTAAATCGGCCCTACTGAAAACGTACAGGTAATTATGTAAACCTGTGATCATAGTCCTGTTGAGTGTTCGGCCCGTTTATTCGCACACACAGGAAAAATATAAAACGGCACCAAATTATTGCAAAGTAGAAATATCGAATACTGCCAACAGAAATAAATCTTTGACATTAACAATTAATGACACTTCAAGAGTTTAGTTGGCAATAGAAACTTCCAGCTCCCAACATTCGCCACTCGTTTTATGTTTCAGCGTAATACTGACTCGTGTTTTAACCAATCACACTGAAGGTCAAAGCTTCCCTATGCTTTTTACCGCTACCTTCTTAAAATGAATACAGTATAGTAATAGCAGAGCATTGATATCGTCTGGGATAGGTGTTTTCTCGATAACCTAAAGAACCACACTCGTGATAAACAAGGGGATGGTGTCTCAACTTTTTGTAGGTCCATCAAGGTTAGCACCCTCCCGATGTCTTACGCGATTACTGTCTGTGACACCGTCTCCGGTTTCTACGGGCGTGAAGAGAAATCTGCATTTGGAGCAGTATTGGGTAACTGCATTAAACCTTTTCTTGGATTATCAATAAGTCTTCTTAAGGCGGCCAGGGACAGGCAATTCAAAATTTTAGCTGCGCCTACGCAAATAATTATATAGGCAACCAATCGTGCAATTCGACAAGTTTCACCAGGCATAAGTTACCTGCAAATGACCTCATCTTCCTACAATAAAACCAGATTCCAGACCCTCATTAGCGGCTATTCAACAAAAGTAACTGATTTATGGAATTTCAACTTTCCCCTGATGTTTTACAGTTTTACTAATACTGGAAACCTTTGAATATAGAATAGGAAATCAAAGCTGAGAGCTCTACATACCTATATAAAAATATTACTAATGTATTACTTTCTAAGATATCATTCCTACTTACTTCCTATATAGGGATTTACAATAATGACTTTTTGAGGTTTGGACTTGGGTAATGAAGGGAACAATTTCCAAAACAAGAAAAACTGGTCTTCAATTTTTGTGGTTCATAGCACAAATTTATTTAAACAATTATCACATCCGATCAAACTACGGCCCCATAGATTTCTAAATTTATATGATAACGATTTTCACAGGTGCCGCGGATGTAAGAATGGTACTTTTCTTCAGTTAGATGAACAGTTTTCGATATTTCGCATGGCTTCCGCAATGTAGCCCGGTATTTGCTGCGTTTTCAACCTTCCCCCATTTATCAAATTATATATCTGAATTCTGATCTAATTTACAACAAAATAAATGACGCATTTTTCATTACAAAAAATGTTTTAATAGATTTTCGGAAATTTTCCAATTCCAACACAACATTCGCCTGATGCTTTACGAAAATAGTTTATTTGGCTAGCCGTCAAACCTTCAGTGGAATTATCAAAAGCATAGGTAGATTAAAAAATTATCAAAGTCCTCGTGTGGGATCGAAGAGAGATCGGCGCATTTTTGTGTGGCCGATCAGTATTGTATTAGCCATCAAAAAAAGATCTTATCGCAAGCTAACACATTCCCTTTGTCGGTACCCGCTTCCGACGTTCCGTTCACTCACCATTCGCATTTAGATGAATTTTGCTAAATCTCGGGAAAACACTTTTTCTTATTAATTTTGGTGCGTAGAATCCAAACAATTCGTACTTTTTCGATCAGACTTCTCAATCAAAAGTTATAGACTTAGAAACCAATTTCGAAAGAAAATTCAAAGGGCTGTAACTTTTTAACTAGTAGCT